TAAATACCCAAGCAGAAGTTACACAGACAAGCAAAAAGCTGTGAGCAAGTTTGGGTGTACCTTAAATACCCAAGCAGAAGTTACACAAGCAAAAGCTGTGAGCAAGTTTGGGTGTACATTAAATACCAAAGCAGAAGTTACACAGACAAGCAGAAAACTGTGAGCAAGTTTGGGTGTACCTTAAATACCCAAGCAAAAGTTACGCAAGCAAAAGGCGACGAGTAAGCTTTGGGTGTACATAAATACCCTGACAAAAGCTATGCAAGATGCGCTACAGAGGTTAATGCAAATTTCAGACCAAAACTCAAGTTAGAAACAGAGCTTTTCAAAGCAAAATCTTTGAAGCTAGCTCATTCAATTGCTAATAAACAGAATTGGACGATGCAAGACAAAACCAGCAAAAGAGATAAGTTCTTTCTTCTTTTTTAATAAATCATGGCATTCTTAAACTGATAACACAGGTTTTTCATAGCTTTGCTTTTTTCTCGTATCTAAATAAGATCAAACCTTAGCATGCAAGCAGCGGGAATCCAAAATACCAATGAGTTGCGGAAAACAGATAGACAATGGGAACCAGTATCATAAACCTGAGCAAATTTAAAGAACGAAATTAAAGCAGTACAACCCAAATGTTTTTTTCCAAAATAAATGTTCTTATATGCAAGTTCAACAAGAGGACTGAAAAGCTGAGCATTTAAAGAATAAGGGGTACCTTAAGAACCTCCGCATTCACAAAACTACTCCAACTGTGAATAGCTATAACAGAATCCTCTACATCCTCAAAAGCTGCCTAATCCTTACTCTACTTCAACCAGAGATCTGCCCAAAGGAACATGCATTGAACCTTAATCATAAACTTTCTTCAACTTTGGATCAGCTTAAACCTACACAACAACATCCATGCTCTCAAACTCAGAAATGTGATCAAGCACAATCAATTTAGCAAGGGACTACATCTCTCTCACATTCTTGGTAGCAAGCTTTCTCTGCTCCCTCCAGTCAATTCCGGCTCAGAACCCTTGAGTTAGGCCTTCATTCCGAGCAGCGTTCCCTGTCTCGCCTCCTTTCACGATCTTGGCAGTTGGAATTAGGGGAAGGTTTGGAGGAGCCAGAGATAGAAGGATTGAGGCGATGAAGGTGGTGTTATTCTTGGATGCAGTGTCCCTGAAGGCATTGGAGGACCAACTGCTCTTTTTTCAATTAAGAAGACAAGCTTGGGAGAAAAAATCGTAGGAACCTCCGTTGGAAAAGGAAAGGTCATGGGATTCCTCTCTACATGATGAAAAGCATCCTTCACCACAAACCAGCCAGGAAAATGGAAAATGTCAAAACACTTGGATTCGGAAGAAGAAAGGCTCACTTTTGAACCAACAAAGGCAAGAACGGGAAAAACTGGCAACAACAGAAAGAGAAATTGTCATGGCCTCAACAGTAGTATGAGAAATTTCTAAGATCACCTTTGACAATGGGATCCACCCCCATCTCAGCAATATCCCGAGCAACTGGAGCCATAACAGTAGATTTTGAAGGATTCCTCTCCATCAAAACAGAAAAATGGTGAAGAAGAAGAAAGAAAACGCAAGAACCAACGGAAGCAAGAATCAAAACAAAACCGAAAGTAGGGATCGAAATAGAGCCGGAAGCAAGGATCAAAACAGAATTGGAAGCAGAAGGATTAACGACCATCACAAGGCAATCGGCCTGATCAAATCACAAGATCAAAGAAGTCTTTCTCAAAAGGAAGAAAACGAAAAACCAAAAAGAAAGAAAAAAAAAAAAGAAAAAAAAAGAAACAAAAAAGAAAAAGAAGAATCGAGAAACCCAAGAAAGCCCCATTTCAAAGTCAAAAGGATAAATTGCATAAAATCCCAAGGAAATAAGGGTTTAAACCAAAAGGACCTGCCGTACCAAAAAACCATACAAAGGAGGCCACGTGCATAAAAAAAGCTGCCAAAAACAAGAAAATCCAAGAAATGCAGCTGTGAAGATATGGAAAAATCAAGAAAGGACCTGAATAAATCAGCACAAATCTGCAAAACAATTAATTTCAAACTGTGCCAGGAATCATGAAGGAAAAACCTGCGCTGCACTCTTTTTTCCTTAAGCTAGATTTTTTATCCCACAGGGTTTTTTCTAGTTAAGGTTTTTAACGAGGTAGCCACGGTTGAAAAAACTGAAATCTGTGCAGAATTCAAAATCAAGATCAGCAAAACAATAAGAAAG